CAGATATGAGAACACATCAATTACATTTAACCAAAAATCAGTGCTTGTTTTCTGTTCACTGTTCATTTGAATAGCTGTGTGCACAACTTGATGCATGCGTATMGAAGTGACAAYGTTGTCTTCTGTCAATGACAGAACCAACGAGGAGCCTGTTATATCTGTTATAAGATCGTGTTCGCTTTCATTTGGTAGACAGCGATGAACAAAATCAACAACCACTTTTAAAGGTACATAATCAGGAGCCATTACTGATAGGAACTGGAAAGCATGCATCATTGTCGGGTTCTCCTTCTCTTTCTCTACAGCCATACGGACAGCAGTCGTCATGGTTTTAGTGTAAGTCATACTTGTGTCTTTGTAGTTTCTCTCCGTTACTTCAATCTGATATCTGATGCTTCGAAGACATTTCTTCCAATCCATTGAAGGGTCTGTACGTGATGCACAATGCATAAACACTGCTGCACAAGCAAGCGCCAATGGCTGATAATCTAGCTCAGTAGCCACTGTAAGTGTTTCTTTGCTTTTAYCAGCTTTGGAAATGGAAACTAGCATTTGTACTGCGTCATCTGGCTCCATTCCWTTACTGAGAGAAAAATKGTGCGTATCTTGAGACGCCAGAATTGAACGATCATCTTGAGTTGTGATGAGGATGTGACCGATTCCATTTGGTTGTCCAGCCTTAACTATAAATTTTGATATTGATTTCAAATCATGGACGTCATCAATAATCAAAAGCCACGTTGAGAAATTGTCTATTTTAGGAGCAGCAAGTCCTTGAAGTTGAAATAGGCGTTGTTCAGGTGAAAGTTCTTTKGACGTGATAATGGCWGTTATTGCTTTCTCRTCACATGAAAGTTTTCTCGTGAGATCAGAATATGATTGAATCAAAGATTGCAAGCTGGACCCGTCCAGCGTCATCACGAATCTTGGAGCAACATCTTTATCAATATCAAAGTAGAGATGTCGTCCTATTTGTCTTGCAAGCACGCTTTTTCCCGAACCAGGATTCCCTGACAGATAGGTCATCGTTATATCTCCAGGATTTGAACTTCTAAGGCGTTCTATTTCTTGGCAGATGTTTGATACTTCCCGGTCGCGCTGAAAAGTGTCATGCGATGGTTTTGAAGGCAACACACAAAAGCAAGATGGCCCCTCATTCTTCTTTTTCTCTTCCTCCCACTTTTGTTGAACATCGTTAAGCTCAGCTGTGTTGAAACTAGTTTCATCTCGAATTTCCTCAAGTGCACTAGTGTCAAGCTTTAAATCCTTAAATGCATTAATGACGTCATTCATAGATGCTTTGTAGCTTGATTCGATAATTCGTCCTTCCTTAGCGTGACCAAATGCTGCATTACGATATTTTCTTAGACTGTCCACACTTTTCTGTACTGTAGGGTCGAGGGCATTCATTCCGATGCAATTTGAATACAATATCGAATAGAAAAGACAGGTGCAGTCCCATTGTGCTGTATTGCCATTTTTGATAATGCTGAGTTCCTTCTTTTTGACATTTTTCTCTCTTGGTGTTGTCATGTTAAAAAAGTTCTTGCCATTTTGTACAGTATCTTGCCAAGGACCGAGACTGGAGATTGACCCATAGCGACCGTCCCATTCCTGCTTGAAGACCTTGCGAAGGCCTTCGGGTATAAGGTCTGTAGTCACGTGACACACACGGAAAAAGTTCAACTGGTCTTGTGAGTACTGCTTTGAAAGTGACATCTGTTAAATAAAATAAATGTTTACGATCAATGTTTCAAGTGATTTTTTTTGTCGTGTGAACTTGCTGTTATGTCATGTGTAAAGGTCGTCAATCATATTCTGTAGTTCAAAGAATGGTGGATAATAGTGACAAAAATCCTACACTGAACAGCTCACGCAGCATTAATATCATCCAAAAATAGAAAGCAAATCTAATAATTTATCATTATCAATAGTCCACTTTGCGGATAACACAGCTATTAGAAATTGAGCAAATATCGAAAAACTATTACCACCACTGGAAAGAACAGTATGAAATTAGTATGTTTACCAGGTTTGAGCATGATTCGATGAAAATTCAAGGAGATACAGCGTTTAAACGAAGTCCAAAATTTACAAAGAAATGTATGGCTGTCGGCATGAGATCGAGGTTGACCTTGACTTGTTACAACCTCGCCAAACATTTCTATGCAAAATTTAGTGTTTTGAAGTGCCGTATCTCTTTGAATTTAAATCAGATTATTTYCAAACTTGGCAAATTTGCTGATTTTATGACGCTCTTTCCAGTGATGTCAATGATTTACCATAACGACGTAATGCAAAATTTCGAATTATCCGCGAAGTGGACTTGTTCATACTTTCTTATTAGTTGCTGCGGGAATTAAGCGAAGGAGTGCTGACACTTGATTACCAATAACGCAACATATCTATAGACAGAACAGGCTAAGAAACGCCCGTCTCCCGTACTCCTAAGCTTCCTGAAAGCTCGGAAATGTAATTTCCGAATTTATTTCCCTTTCTGTTTTAGCGTGTTTGTGTGTGTTTACTTAGTTCTAGAGTAGTTAGTGTGGCCTTAATCCACCTAACTGTAGCTGAGATGCGTCAAATGTAGCCTTTGTGTATTTCCCCTGTAAGCTAAGGTTTTTTGTTCTTGATCGAGGGCTTCATTAAAGGGCACTCACGTGACACTATAACGTTATATGCCGACCTCACTGAGGGTGTGTTTTCATTGCACATTATAGCACCCAGTACAACAATGGCACATAGCGAACGCGCACATGCATAACGTATAGTCACAGAATCATATCGCGGTATAAATGATTTTTTGTGTAAGGTTACCTATTGAGTTTTGAACTGAGAAGAATGTTCTAGGCCTAAACAAATTGCCCACCGTGCATTTTTCGAATTGGTCTATAAGAATTTTAATTTAATTTTTTTTGATATATAACGCACGCTCTGATTGGCTGGTGACCGTGTTTATATCAGAGGACAGAGACACGTCTTACAGGCGCGTAGCGTGGACTTTTTGGCTAGCACGCACATGTCAGGGACCGCGACACATATTTTCAATTGGGGTAGCTAACTACCGCCGAAGGCGGGAGTGTTAATGGAAGTCAATTACATATATATAAAAAAACCCGAACATTTCAATTTTTCCTTGCAACTAGTGCGCACGTGCGTATGTGCGTAAAGGACGCTACGAGCCTGGCTTACCGACAAAATTTGTTTTTCGCTCGAAAAATGCAGAAAAATTTTGATAAAATAAAAATTAATTATTCGCTTTTGTCTCTGTCATCTGATATGAACAGTACCATGGGAGTTGAAAAGCACTCGAGAAGCAAGAAAAACACTCGCTACTTCCTTACCATGTGTTTATATAAGAGGAAAGAGACACCCGTGTCGCTTTATATTTCTTAAATAAAATATCATTTAAACAAAATAAGTGTTGAGGTGTTTACTTTATACCTTAAAATAACTTCCTGAATGAAAAAAAAAAACAGTGAATTTGAAGGCAACTAATAGCACAACATTGGTGGAAATGAAATCAAACTACCATTTCCAGTAATAACTGTTAAATCCTGACAACTTGAGTAAACGTGCTGAAATAGAAGAGAGAAAGCAAAAAGCTTCATCTTTTGTAAAAATAGAAGTAGTTTTCCTGTCTCTGAACTTAAAACATGAAAAAGGCTCTTAGGGACTACAGTTCCCATCATGCTTTAGTAATAGTTTACAAAATGCGTGTTGTATGGGAATTGCAATCTCGAGCCGCTACACGGACGCAAATATTGTAAACGACTTATGAAACTCCAACACTAATTAACATGAATTACGGCGAGATAAATGACGAAAAATGACAAATATGGTAACTGCTGAGTTAAGTCACTGTTAAGCATGCGCAATTTACTGCAACACAGAACATTTTGAATAATTATCCATCCCACATGGAAAGCAAGCATTCTGTTGCATAAGCGATTTTTGTTATCTATCTTCTACTGGTTCAAAACCTAGTGAAGGTCTATGATCTATGATTCGATACTAAAACTTTGAGACCTTTGCTAGTGTTGGGTTGTCTCAATGGTGACGACCGTGTTGTAAATCTGATACAACACTAGTGTTCCTAGGCTCAGTCTCCAGCCGTCGGGATTTCGTGCGCCCGCGATACTCTCTCCCCTGACGGCTGGGCGCATGGGGTTCGAARYKTGTCGCGCATGTCCGTGACGTTTTTGTGTAACGGAAGTGAATTTTTCAGTGAACGGAAGTGAAATATCTGACAACAGCCGTAAAGGTTTTGCTACAAGGCGGGAAATTATGTGAAATGAAAACTTCGCGAAGTAGCGATATAATGTAATAGTTAGCGCTTTAAAAAAGAGAAAGGAATGGAAATTACCCCAAGTAAAACATGTGCAGGGTTTAATAATCCAAATGGATGTATTATCTGCCAGAAAAACGAGCAAAATACACTAGTGGCGCTGTTTGAAAAATAAGAGATTTGCCCGAGCCAGTATAGGAAGAATAACAAGGACATCTTTTCCAAGAACAATCTCTTTAAGAGCCTTTTGCTGTATTTCTCTAAATTCGTCCAAGCTAAACGACTTCAGAGCCTTCAAACAAGCACTTTCAAAGAGAATCTCAAACGACGAATTGTACGCCATTTTGTTACACTGCTGCCTGCTAATTTATTAATGATATGCCCCTCAAAATATCGGGGGCCACTCGCTGATTGGTCAAGACTGACAATAGCGAACCTCATGCGCCCAGCCGTCAGGGGAGAGAGTATCGCGGGCGCACGAAATCCCGACGGCTGGAGACTGAGCCTATAGTGTTCCTTACTTTGACAATTTTAATGTTGAAAATGATAGAATTCATCATCACTTTACTAGAAATCATAAAAATCTTCACAAACAATTCAATAGAACCAATTATGGCAAATACTCAATTAGGAATAAGAGCATTGATTTATGGAATTCTCTTCCTGCAAAAATTAAGACATCAAAATCAATTTCTTTGCTAAAAAAAAGAATGAAAGACTTCTTTTTTCATAACTATGATAATTAAAAATCTAGACATGTAATATATATAAATATATATAAAAAAAAAAAACCTGATACCAAGAATAAAGTATCACAAATGTAATAAATAAATTGATTTCTTTCTTTTTATGGTGAGCTTTTTACATAAGCCCGTAAGGGTTTCATAAGCTCTCCACACATATAGATATTTAATGAAAATTTATAATAACTTTGAAATTGTATTTATATATATGTGAAATAAACTGATATATGTATCAGATTTACAAGGTCAATCACCTGATTAAATGAGCAGTCCTTATTGGAGTAATAGTAATAGTAACAGTACAGACAATTAATTATCCTCCAAAAACAACTGTATTTGTCCTTTGCTTGCCTGTCAAACTGTTCCAGTTCGGTCCCTTCTATTCCTTAAGCAAAACCGGCCGTTGACCAGTGCTTAGTATTTCTTCTGCCCCATTTTGCGAGTGATCGGCCTACATATCCGCCCCAAATCCCCAAGGACACACACTCTCCCCAAGCCCCGCATTCACACGGCTACACCTTTCCTTGTTTTTTTTTTTTTTTTTTTTTTTTTTGCTTACCTGACTTCCCGTTACCTAAACGGTTACTTCACTTACCTTCCAAGTTCCCACTGCTGAGAATCCTACCAATTCGGTTTTCTTTGTCTTTGAGGTCTAGAAGATTTGGGTTGAATTGACCTTTTTTCAGTTTCAGTCTCTGTATCAGGATTTTGAGCTCGCATTCTACCGTTCGACAACGGAATTAGAAAATTTCTGTGCAAATTTCTTTCCCTTCCTGTTCCATCTTTCTTTACCACGCAGTAAACAGAAATGTCTTCATTTGGCTTACCACCTACAACATATACATCCCTTTCCCAGAAGTTATCCAACTTGGACTTTGGTGTCATAAGAACTTCGTCCCCAGTTTGTAACAATCCTGCGGTCGGTATATGTTTGTCATAAACTGTCTTCTGATGGCGCGACGCTCCTTGGCATTATCGGAAGCCAACTTGTACGCAAAATTCAGACGTTTTTTTCAAATCTCTAACGTAAGACGTCTTACCCTGAAAACCATTAGGGTCATGTCCAAGACGAACATCTATGCCCAGGCGGGGATGACGACCGAACATTACATAGAACGGTGACACGCCAGTAGAACGTGTTCGAAGCCGCCCTTGCATCTATCCAGCTTGAGATAATCTATACAAACAAGTTCCCTTGGTTCTGTTGTGACGATATTTACTAAACTAGCAGCGTGTTCAGGTTGGGAGCGTCTTCTCAAAATGCATCTTTCACAAGTCTTCACCCATTTTTCAACATCATTTGCCATGCCAAGCCAGTAAAATCGAGCCTTATCAAGGTGAAGTGTTTTTTTCTGTGGAAAAGTGTCCAGCAAGAACGTCTTTCTTGAATGACTCTGGAACTAGCAATCTGACAACTTCCTCACCCGGAGGTCTAGTTCTTCCTCTTCTATAGACTACGTCTTCTTGAAGAAAAAAACTGATTCCATAATCTTAAAATCTTTCGTGTACTCTTTCCTTCATTGTTCAAGGCTTTTCTAGTAGGTCTTTCTCCTTTAAGCAGAAGCTCTTTCACTCTTCCAATGACCACATCCTCTCCTTGCAACTTCGAAAGAATTTTCGGATCCCATTTTGGCAGGGTCTCTACACACTCTATGTCTTCTGCCATACTAGCGTCAAAATATGATGGGCGATGAGCTGACAACTGGCAATTTGCTTCTATTGACTCCTGACCAACAACACTTACACTCTCATGAGGGCGTCTTGAAAGTGCATCAGCGTCTGCATTCCTTTTCCCAGGTCGATAATGAATTTTAAAGTTATAATTGGCGAGTGCCGCAAACCATCGATGCCCTGTCGCGTCGAGTTTAGCGGTCGAATTAACATAGGTCAAAGGATTGTTATCCGTTCGAACGATGAAAGTGTTGCCATAGAGGTAATCGTGAAACTTTTCCGTCACGGCCCACTTAAGACCAAGAAATTCGAGCTTGTGGACTGGATAATTCCGTTCTGATTTCCCCCGGGCGGCCAGCGGTCTAAATCCCTGACCCTGTTTAAGACACTAAAAAGTAAAAATCCATACCCTGTTCAAGACAAATCGGAAAAATAAGGAATAGCTATCTACGCCGCAACCATCAAAAATGCAATTATACTGACATCCATCAAAGACAATAAGAAGTTTTTGATAACACGTTAATTCTGGGACAGTGAAACGGTATTTCTACGGTGTTATGAAAATATTACCCTGTCCAAGACACACAAAAAAATTATATCGATCTCTTTTATCTAAATTGTAGAGCCTGTATAAGACAATTTCGGGTGAAATGTATACCCTGTTTAAGACAGCAAGGCCAAAAACCATACCCTGGCCAGCGGCACGTCCCCGTATAGCAAATATATGGGATATACGCACTTCGCGTAATCGGGCACAAACTTGCGATAGTAGCCAATGAATCCTAGAAAGTTTCGCAATTCATCCACACTCTTAGGAACCGGCCAGGTTTTTACAGCCTCAATTTTGTCAGGGTCAGTTTCAATCCCATTGCAGGAAATAACGTGACCTAAATACTTTACCTTGTCACGGAACAGAGAACACTTTGAGGTCTTCAATTTTAGTCCATATTTTTCGGGTTGGGAAAATACAGCTTCCAATCGCTCGATGTGCTCATCAAATGTCTTCGAATAGACTATAACATCATCGATGTAAACGATACATTTGTTAAAATTCAACTCCGCTAGGCAGTGCTACATTAAACGCTGGAAGGTGGCTGGCACGTTCGTCAACCTAAACGGCATTCTGTTGAACTCGTAAAAGCCAAGAGGGCCTACAGTGAATGCGGTCTTCTCTTTATCTTTCTCTTCAATTGCCTCCTGATAGTAGCCACTCTTGAGATCTAAAGTAGAGAACCACGAACATCCGCCCAAAGCTTCGAGAGTTCGCTCTATCCTCAGAAGAGCATAAGCGTCTTTAAAGTGCGAGCATTTAGCTTCCTATAATCGATGCAGAATCTCAAACTACCGTCTTTCTTCCTGACCAGAACAACAGGAGAGGCTCATGGACTGTGTGACTCACGTATGATCCCACTTTCAATCAATTCTTGTAAATGCTCTCTTACCTCATCATATTGAACAGGAGGAATTCTTCTGTGCTTTTGTTTAAACGGCACGTTTTCATCGAGATTTGTCTTGTGGTTGCCATGGAAAAGGTACAACCGATACCCTCACCTATTCCGGTAAATACCCTCGTTTTCCACTTGTCCAGTAACTCTTCTGCTTTCTCCAGTTGTTCGTTAGCCCGGCATGGCGTTCTGTTTAAGCATTCCTTCAAACCAGCGGTCAGATTCTTGTACGTGATCTGTCCCAGAGACACTACTCACCTGTTGAATGGAACAAGTAATTGTGGAAGCTAAACTAATGCTTTTGCTTGAAGGATTAGTTATTCCAACAGGAACTTGTTTTACCTTACCATCCATTTTTAACCTGACGAGAGAAGGAACTACTTGCAACGCCTTGGGTAACATCGAATCCTCACCTTCAATTAGAGTCCATACTGACTTTCCAACCTTCAACCTTCGAAAATATATGCGGCAGATAATTATATTATAGCCATGATCCTTTTCGGTCTCACCACGTAGGGATGATCGCAGCCGATCAAACGATAACGTTTAGTCAAATGACGGTATACATATTTGCCAAACCGATTAGATCGTTTAGCTTTGTAATGATCGAGTTCAGCATATTTGCCGTTTACCTGTGTTACGCTTCAAAGGTATATTGAGTGACGCCGTCACGCCGTGCAAAAACTAAATATGAATTATAGAAATATGGTCGGAATGTACCTGGTAGATCTTGTACAACAAAACAGTACTACAATTATATACAATGATAACCCAATAAGTGTAAGGAATCAAGAATATTCATTGATAAAAAATAACAGTTTAACACATAAGAATCTTTAGTTTCACGGGTTTCTTTAAATTGAAAACAGCTAAAATTCATAACTTTTCACGCTTGGCGTGGCAAGACAGCATCACAAGATCGGTGAGTTCGCATTCTTGAATATATTCAAAGTTTTCTTAAACCGTCTATGTTCTAGATATACATTCACATACATTTCTCTAATTCGAAATTTTCTCGATAGTTTGTTTCTCTTTTAATGGAAATCAAAGCTGATGTCGAAGAATGTCGATAGTTAAGCAGTGCTTCTGCGAAAATATTATTGACTGTTCTATAACATCGGTGAATTAATATTAAACTTGTCTGCCAGACGGAAAATACATGTTCGATAAAGGGGATGATTTCTTAGAAGTTTCCTTCTTAACAATAAATGAATAAAAAGAAAGTAGATTAATATTTTGGGCAAATCTTTACCCCCTTTGTACCGATTTTGAAAAACAACGTATTTAGTGAATGTTTTGCGGTTTAACCAAATGAAAGACTTCACACATCAAACAAGGAAACGCTAGCTTTGCTGATTGCTCCAGATTGGTCAAAACGTCGAAGTGACAATGTTCAACATGACATAAATTTACAGAAATTGACTGCTTTATACCTTCAAAACAGAGAGACACCCTTGATCCAGTCCCTGAAATCTTTCTGTGATTATTTCTTGAATTGATACGAGAGAATCGAAGGCTTAGAGGACCTTGGAGAGATTAGACCAATACAGAGAATGTGCTTACTTGCATAAACCTTTATGCTAAAAAAGGGAAAACACGTGACCTCGAAATGATGTAATTTCCGGAATGTATATATGATGTATTTTATTTCAAATGTTTTAAATGAATAAAATTCACCTGGGACAATTTAATACAATTGAGACAGCTGTTTCCCATGTGTTTCAAGGCGAAATGCTCTTGTGCAACGCTGTAACAGAGTGCAAATGGATCAGACGCATCGGCTGTCTTCTGATCATGCAATCTGACACTGATCTATATGAGTAATTCTATTTACATTTTGGTATCGTCCAGATGTAATGCTACAATATGTGGTATGGCAGTATTTACCCAGTCAGTGAAGTTCTCTGATCACATTACAAGTTTGAAAATTCTAGAAAATGTACTTCCTTCAGAGTTTTGTTCCTCTTCAGTCAATTGCTTGATAGCTTGTAATTTTGAGAGTCGTTTGTTAACAGAGATTGCTAAATCATGCTGCAGAGGCATCCTCTCTGTTCCTCTCTTCTTTCCAGCTCGAGTTCCTTCTCTGATGCAATTCCCTCATTCCTGGCTTCTTGTCGCACCGTTGCAACATTATCAAGTCCTTCATCTTGATAAAGCTCGTTAATCTTCAAGGTTGTCGAAATAAGTTTTAACCACAAGGCTGAATTGCTTAGAAGGGCAAAAAACCATTAACCGAATATTGATTCAGCATCGCTATGGAAACAGAGACTGCAGACTGTCTAAATCGTGTGCGCTACCACTTTGAAGTATAGAATTCACACCACAAAAAACAAGTGGTCTTCCCTCCACAGCCATATAATAATTGATTCTAGGTTCAAGGCTGGTACAGTCAACTCTTCCTATTACACCCTTGGGACTGTAATTTAATGTCCACAGTAGCGAGAGTCCATAGTAAGGAGAGCTACTTTCAGTCATTTCTTTGTATTTTTCACCAGGGATTCAGTATTTTACTGTCCACAATATCAAGGTGTCCGTTGTACATGTAGCAGGGTGCCGTAAGGCGAGAGATCAAATATGTGTTGTAAGTGCTATTCAAGTGAAATAACTGGAGTATATCTGCTTAAAATATGATTAAAGTCATCCAAGATGACTGACAGTGGAGAAGATAATTATTTTATTATTATTGCGGCAGAAATGTGCAAACAAGAAATTCTGGAAAAAAAGACACAAGCGATTTACGCAGAATATTAAGTGATCATGTCTGTTCAAAAAGATCATAAATTTCAATCAATCGTCATAATCCTGCATGCGCTGCCCGAGTTATATAAATGTATATAAAAATCTGCAGAGGCAGTAAGTCATTGAGAATCGCCTCATCATTCAGGGCCATTTCATTTTATATCCACGCCCTCCCCCCTCCCCCCGGTCGAAGACTTTTTCTGGGGGGTTCTTGAATTTCTTGGGGTATTAAAACGTGTTGGGGCCTACGTTCTTCTGATATTTTCTGRTTGGTGAGTTAAAGATMACTAAAATTYTGAGGGGGTTCATGTGTGACACCTTTGATCTGTACTTTTCTAGGGGGTGTTGTGAATGAATGGAATGGCCGTCAGTTATGATGACACCTCTATAGTTATGGTTTCGGATTGGATGTTTAGATTCTCTTTATATTCCCGATTGCGACTTTCATGCTCTGACTTTCATCATGGTTTGTTGATGTGTTCAACAATTTGATCAGCGCTTGTCTGAACATCGCTTTGTCGTCTTCACGGTAAAACTTTCGTCAAAAACCGCTGCTGTTACATTTCCAGCGCTAGATGTGCGAAATACCAAAAAGAAAAGACCGGTCAAGCAAACTTCCCTACGGAGTTTCTGCAGTTGTGCTTTCAAGATAACACAAACTTATTGGCGCAATACCTTTTGTTGTCAGCAATAGGTCAGGAAACAGAATTGACAGAATTGTCTTCAGAGAGTCCTGGATGAAKGTGAAGTTGCTCATCAAAGGCTCAACATCAACAAAAAAGGTGGAAGTTTTAAAAATTATATGATTTTTACATGAAAATTCAAATTGGACAGTTGTCGTTTAATATAGGATTAAATAGAACATAGTTGCCAGTCAAATACTTTGTCAATGTAATATTTCATTTTTGTCCAATTTCATTTAATGTGATAAACGATTGTTAATGAAATAGACAGTGGGCATCATTGAGTTATTGTAAGTTATACAACAGCAGGGTTGATCATGTTTTGCATTTTGACTTCTTTTGACGTCTACTAGGCTGTCTATCGATCTGTTTCTTTGCCTTTTTATTGGGTCTTNCCATACATGACTACTGCAATATATCGCCCCATACATGATTACTGCAATATATCGCCCCATACATGACTACTGCAATATATCTCCCCATACATAACTACTGCAATATATCGCTCCATACATGACTATCGTGCTATCGTCTTTCTGAACCAAATAGTCAATTTGTGTCGACTCAAATACATTCAGTACGGCGTTTATTCATACTTCGAACCAAATGCAGTCAAAAACATAACAAAAGTGCCGATAACGCGCAATTTACATCAATAATTTTGTCAAAAAGAGATAGCACGAGGATAGCTCGACGTTTGTATCAGCGTCGAGCTTTTGCCGTGCTACGGTCGCGCCGAACTCGATTGATTCATACGTCGAGCTGTTCATGTGCTAAATTCAAACTGTTTGGTTCGACGCGACGCTGGCTCAACRTATGAACCRAGCCTTAGATATGAATAGTTGAATTAATCAGTGGATGAAAATAAGAGTTAATTAAGTAACCTTGAACAGCTTATTGACATGCATGAATTTCTATTTGCAGCCAATCGTAGACGAGCTACCATCAGCCATCGCCATCAGCAAGACAGTTCTGTTTGTACTATATTATAGCGATCTGACACTGATTATGTATTTGTGGGTATTGCCGGGGTATACGTAGAATCTGAGCGCTGTTTACTACGGGAGGCCTGGTGCTAGAATTTGGTTTGTCTCGTGTGAAATGGGTCAAAATTACAAGAAAAGTTTACGAATTGAAATTTACTTAATACTTCCATATCAGAAGTATTGTACTGCGTCCATATCAGAAGTATTGTACTTCGTCCATATCAGAAGTATTGTACTGCGTCCATATCAGATTCATATCGTATTTGTCGCATTTGAAGTTTCATCTCTGGAGAGCTCTGGTTTGAATTTCTTCAATTTCGATTTTTGGRCTCGCAGGATATGAATGGACCACGGAAGGTTTGATCAGTAATTAGAAAAGCGGGTATATGTATCCAGATAACGTGTCCCTAGGCTGGTCTCTCGGATCAATGACATTTCACTCGAAAATAAGATGAGAACTCACAATGGGTAATATAGGCATAAAATAGCAACCAAACAATTTGTGACATTTGATAGAAGTCTGCCTAGAACGGGAATTCATTTCAGACATGTTACTCCTCACCTTCGTCCTAGACTGGCTTATAGTCTAGACCCAGTATTACTGATACTTTTTATAGTGGATGATATATAGTATATTACCGTTTCGTTRCACTTCAMTTGCACGGCCAATTCCTTGCAATATGGCGTCCCGTCCATTCCGAAACGGGMTGGCAAGCAAAATGTTACTTATTTTCCATATTAAATGCTGTAAATACCTTGTTAACCTTGATTGCTTTTGTCTTGCGTCAATCATATTATATTATAATTCATTTTTTTTTTACTCAATTGGGTTGACAGGTTTGCATGGCAGCCACGTTTGTAATCTAGTAGCATACACATGATAATGGTACTATATCCCTATGAACTTGAAACTACTAATGTATACTCTGTTCTTTGTGGACATTTTTCTTGTTTTATCCAAGTGGCGTCTAAGTTGAGATCGACTGTATTTATATCTGTATTTAAATTATTTAATTATATTGTAGATT